AGTGGCGTCACGTGACCTCGCTGACGCAACACAATCATTCTTTTTTTTTTAAAGTTGTTATATTTGAATATATGAGCCAAGCTTGACCTACTGGTTAGTGTGCTGAGTTATCAATCGAAGGGTCCAAAATTTGAGACATGATGCTTAGATTTTTGGGTCGAACTTATTTCACTTAGTGCATAAAAAGTAGGTCCACTGATAACAGGAGATTCAAACAAGATTCTTATTATGTGGTAATTCTTATTTCTATGAGTAATGGAGCTTGGGAGAAAGAATTAAAAAGAGACTGAACACAATTGTACAAAAATACAATGAACAATCTTTATATTTCAGAGATGCTACTCACCTCTTCACCATAAAGAGCTGTTAATTTGCATGCATTGCTTTGTTATTTGCTAAAGATGCCATAAGCTTTGAACAAATGTCCAACCCTTTCACATATCAACGTGTATTGTGCCAGTTTAACTGTACTCTCCACCAATAGGAGGGCAACAAATACTCCAAATGCAGTAATCCCCACTAGCCCATTAACGCATGCTCATTCTTTACTTGGCGCAACTTGTCTTTTGGCATGTTTTTTCATAAGATTTACCAGAATTATCATGTTTATTGTTTTTAACATTTCATTAATATTTGATACGTAGCCTTTCGTTCCTTAATTTTCTTTCTTCTATGAAGGAACAATACTAAATTTTAAAGTTGTCAGTTAGATCTTTCATTCAAAATATTGTCAACTTGGTTTTATTTTAACCGACTATGTGTTTTTGGGACATGCTGCATTATTTGTTTCTGTTTAGTCCAACATACGGGTTTTGTCCAGTACTTTTCAAGATTGTCATTAGGCCTATATACTTTTCAAGATTGTTGTTAGGCCTATGAAATATCACCATACCATTTTATTTCTAACAAAAAATAAATCTGTCTTTATATTTTTAAAAAAAGCAAACCATGAAAACATCAGTTTTATGAATTAACTAAATTAAGCACTTATGTTGTTTCCATGTTCCTGACATTTCTCAAGGTTGTTACCACTCCTTCACAGGATTCATCCAACACTATAATGGCAACTGGAGACACTGATGATCAGTGATATTACCACCATTGTGCACCATACAGTTGGTTCCATTCTGTTCTCAGATCCAGGTTTCCTTATCTCCTATTTATATTACTTCAGCTAAGCCTACCCCAATCTTGTGTTCATCTTTGAACTTGAGTTCTACAGGTGGACCTACAACTAACTGCACTGCCCCTCTCCAAAAGTTTTCAAGTTCAAAGCTAGCCTAACAACTGACTCAGCTAGGTATTTTAATCAGATTCATTGGCCAGTAATCCATCCTTATGCATAAACTCTACCAGGTTGAAAGCCAGGCTGGCTCCAGGATTCTTCCAGTTAGTTACACAGTCCAACTCCTTGTTAAACAGAAAATATATTGAAAGTTGTCAAAGCTACTTCCATGGCAGTTCCAAGTCTTGAAGGCTTTAGCACACTAGAATAAAAAAATAAATAAAACACCACTGGCTAGTTGAAGAACAGGAAGGCAGAAGGGTCAAGAATTCGATATTTAGTAGCAAAAGTCCAGATTGAAAATGTGAATTCAAGTAAATTACAATTGGTCAAAAAGTCAGCCATGTGTGTAGACTGTAAAGATGGTCTTAACTGAACTGCTCATTTACAACCATACTCTTCTTCAAAACTACCTTTATAGTCAGAGTGATAAAAGTATCTTTGGTCAAGCATCATTTAATTAGGTTTCACGTGTGCATATGCTTCTATCACCTGTAAAAATTGCATCCTTAACACTTGAGCCATATTGGCACTCCCGTGACAACAGCCGATACAGCTAAACCTTCTATTGTCATCTAGTTGTTACGTAAGTAGAACCTAGGAGGAAAGAAAAGGGATTTAGACTGCAAAACTGGTTCCTACAAACGAGTTGACTCAGGTTAACAGAACCAACCTCTACTTCTAACCATTAGAATCCTCTAATGCTTACATCATCTCGCTCTCAGAACTTTCTTCCAGGTACAAATTTAGTACTAACTTGGTTCAAGTAACAAGTTTCACCATGTGGGTGTTACTTTCCACTCCTGCATCTGGATTGAAACAATGTTAAGAAATATTTTCATAAAACTGTGTACCTGTAAAATATTTCATTCTGATTGAAAATATTCCATCATGTTACGTCTCCGTT